CCAGCTCACATGGACTTGGCAGAGCAGCAGAACATCATTTAATGCCAGATTAATCTGCTGGATGACCAGGTGACTGATCTCCATCCAGTGGCTGCTTGGTTTACTGCAAGGTCATCTCCAGTTGGTGGGGGTCAAACTAGTATCTGACTAGTGGGGTGGTTGTTGTAAGATTTCTCAGTGAACATGATGTTGAGGAAGATGTCCAGTCCTCTGGGGGAGATCCTCATTGGACACAAGATCGGATAAGTGCATCACTTCAATGGTCCTGATAGCACGGGATTTGAAACCTGCACTCTCATTTTGGTTGTTATAATCACAATATTTTGGTTGTTTGTAAAAGTTACTTTTGTCAGAGTTCAGCAGGGAATAAAATTGCTGACATAGGCACGCATGGGCTTCTCATATTTCCATCCATGTCTTCTTCTTGCATGCTTCATTTCTGATCAATTCTCTATCCTTGTTTACAATAAATATTATCAGATCTTTGACAAAAACTGTCTTTGTCTTGTTGTCCGCACGTCAAGAGTGCTCCTCTTGACCGAGAGGAATCTGGGTCATATAGATCTCTCAGTCCTAGACCTGCACTAACAATTGGCTAATACCTGCATAGTATTGTTCATATGCAAATTGTCAACTACTGTAAGTAGAATGTCCTCTCTCAACAGCCAATTGTGGAAGGGGACGTAACTCCTGGTGCTTACTGCCCCACATGCAACCAACTCTGTGTCTTTTGTCGGGTTGACCTGATTCTGTGTGACAAAAACACTGTTTCTTTCTCCCTTGTATTTAGGTTTCTGGATGTGAGCTTGAATCGTGCCAGAGATTTATTTTTCAATTCTGGTACCTGTGCTGATTTCTAGAAATTTCTAGAAACTAGAGAATAACAATCTGAACATCACAACCCAACAGAAGCCAACAGAAATAGCATTAAAAGAAAATAAATTTAGAAAAAGTAACTAGTCGGAAGAAATTGTCAGAAAAACTTTGTCAACATCAAATAGACAAACAGAGAGCGCAGTAACTGTGAAACCAATTTTCATTGGCTGAATCCCAGAAAGAATTAAACCCAGCGCAAAGTCTGTCCAAACTTCAGAGATTCAACCAAGAGAGGCCAGGAAGCTGACTAGAAGGTAACCATTTCTGGTTGGATCTTATTGGCTGAATTCCAGAAAGAATAAAACCAACATAAGCTCTGTCCAAACTTCACAGACTCAACCAAGAAAGGCTAGGAAGCTGACCCAGAGTTGATTGCTCCTGGTTGGGTTGTCTGGGAGAGAGAGTTTGATATTTCTATAGGCCTGAATCCCCCAATGACACCAGAAATAAACATCACTGACAAAGCTATCTGGTGCAATGTAAGGCTGTTTGATTATATATATATATATATGAAAATTTCTCCGATTTAATCGGTAGAGAAGACAATATTTATGAATAAAAATGACAATAGGAAGACTGGTAATTGCTGACGCGTTTCGTCTAATGTGGACTTTATCAAAGCAAAATACGAAATTTCATATTTTGCTTTGATAAAGTCCACATTGATGAAACGCGTCAGCAATTACCAGTTTTCCTATTGTCATTTTAAATTATATATATATATATATATATATATATATATATATATATATATATATGTATGTATATGTATGTATATGTATGTATGTCAGAGTTTTTGTGATGACAAATTATTATTATTATTATTGTAGGTGTTGCTATTTGGATCAGCTTGTTCATGTTGGTTGTTAAACTCAATGTTTCGACTGTTATACTCAAGACTTCTTCAGGCATATGCTTTACTTAATAACCGTCTTGAAAGAAGACGGAAGAGTACAATGACTGAAACGCGAGTACAGCAATAAAGCTGAGTATACTGGCCTGAATAGAAAGGCATTTAATAATGAAATCTTCATCTCAATAATTCCAACAAACTTGAGAGCGGTGTAGAAAATGTTGGCCAGATATTAAATCAAATGTGATGTGTGGATAGCATAGCAGTTAATGACTTGGAATGTGGAATTGGGGAGCCAATTTTATTGCCATCACTTTTGCACACTCTTGGGAAAGGTATATTATCCAACTCCCTGCCCACTAAGTTAAATAGCAGAGTAGACTGGGCTCTCATGCCTTGATTGGCAGTAGAGCGAGTAACTTCACCCTGTAAAAGTCTAGTTGCTACAGAAACTGCAACAGCAATGGATAGAGTGAGGCAGGTGTGGCTCTATGCTCCACAGGAGAGAGTTTATGTCAGAGACAGAAATCTTATCTTTACACATTATATACGACAATTAGTGCAAAAGAATTTGAATGTTTCTGGTAAGTTATGTCAACACTGATGCTAGGTAAGAAGTTATGTGCTGGGGTAAGGTAAAAGGAAGATGTCAAATGAGATTTCATTTAAGCATTGTGTTGATAAGATTTGTTGTAAACTAGTCAGAACCTAAGAAATACGAGAATCGCTCTGAAAATAATGCCTTCCCAGTCCCCCACTCCACCTCAGTTTTTCCAGAAATTTGTATTTTATTAAATCAATTTAAAATGTTAATTGAAAATATTTTTACTTATACTATGACCATAATGAGGAGAAAAAAAACACACACATGCAAAACTGAAATTAATATATATATATATATATATATATATATATATATATATATATATATATATATATAAAAATTTTATGTTTATACATTCTTTTTATAGATACAAATATTTAAGTAAATGCTCTGTTTATATTAAACAACATTTACCGGCCTGAATGTCCGAGAAATTTTCATAGAAAATATGCGTCCTCTGACAGGAATCGAATCTGTATTCTATACGGAACAGTCATACAGCCTGACGTGCTTTTACAGATTGAGGCCAATAAATGTTGTTTAATATTGTTTATTATAAACAGAGCATTTACTTAAATATTTGTATCTATAAAAAGAATGTATAAACATAAAAATATCTTAAAAATAATTGTCGGACTTTCTCCATTTCATAATGTATGACGTCATTTGTTTACATTTGGATACACATCAAGCAGATATGAATGTGCAAGAGAAAATCATGGAAAATTGTAGTTTAAAAACAGTAAAATCAACCTTGCTAACCGAAATGCTCTTCTGTGCTGAAATCGGTAAAAGCACGTCAGACTATATGATGGTTCCGTATAGGATACAGGTTTGATTCCTGTCAGATGACATATATTTTCTATGACAATTTCATGGACATTCAGGCTGGGAAATATCGTTAATACTGTTTATTATAAACAGAGCATTTACTTAAATATTTGTATCTATAAAAAGAATGTATAAACATAAAAAATGTCTTAAAATAATTGTCGGACTTTTGTCCATTTCTTTGATATATATATATATATATATATATATATATATATATATATATATATATATATTAGTTAAACTTAGAGAGCCAGACGAACCTACCAAGGTTTCACCTAAGCAGATCGTCAGGGATATATATAAGGGAATAAAAAATAAAACAAAACCAAAATAAAAAAACAACACATTTTGATAAAGACATTAGCACGATGGTCAATGTCCACCCTTCCCCTTTGGGGACAGTGGGCATTTAGGTTTATAAGTAAAACCCCGTGATTAATACCAGATTTTTTATCCGTCTATATTTCTGAGATGTGGTATTATGTACATTATTTACATTATTCGAACTATTGTCCTCGTCTTTGTTGCCATATTTATTACAACATTTCAGCCGTTGTATGCTCTGGCCTTCTTCAGGTGATTGGAATGTCAAACTGAACCTTTTATTTCTTAAAGGACACATGGCACAGTGGATAAAGGCATTAGTTAGATCCAGTGACAGGACCAAAAGTGTGTGAATTCAATACCCAGTTAAGGCAGTGGAGAACTTTCAGAGGGTAATTAACAGGAGATAACTGACAACTATTAAAACATGGCCCGTGGAACTAGAACAGTCTACCCCAATGAGTGAAGTAAAGGGTTCAGTTTGACATTCCAACGACCTGAAGAAGGCTGTAGTGTACAACAATGAAAACGTTTTAATAAATATGGCGACAAAGATGAGGTCAATAGTTTAAATAATGTAAATAATGCAGATGTTTTTATTTATTTTTTTTTTAATTAATACAGATTTTTACAATGGGCATTTATGAAAATATGTAATCAAAATTGTCATAGTTGAATCTGGGTAGGGATTTCAGATATTTAAGTTTTTCGTTAGAATTTTTGAGATGAGGAATTATTATAATCCACTGATTTATTTGGACGACTGTCCTTATTATAGTTGTTTTAGATGCAGTTTTTTTTTTAGTTATTGCATCATCTAGCTGCCTTCTGCCATATTTGGTAACATCCTTGATATTTTAAATTCCTTATTCAAGTAGTGAGTAGATTGTTCACATTTCTCTGTCCATTGCCCGGGAGATAACACATCTTAGTTAATTTGCCAGTGGTAATACCATTTCAGCTCATTCCACAGAACCATAAGATATCGATTTCACTTCCTGACCCAGAGATTGAACTCTGGACATCCAGTTAAATATTTAACCCACATGATGATAAAACAATGGGGGCGGGGATTTAAAACTGTAATTCGAGTATAATTTCAGTTCCTTTATAAGACATTTGTTACACCCCAGACTTATGGAACCAACCACTTGTCTAGATTATTAATTCTAATTAGAAAAGATTTTATTTTCATTTATTACGCTAAAAATGTTTTACTCTTGCCGTTTAAAACATCAGTTGTGGGAAAAATTATATATAAATGTTCTTTTTATATATAAGGAACTATTTTGGGGAATAATTCATGACAATGTGCACATGTGTGGTTGCCACAATGTACGCAAAGTCGGATGAAGTCTTTGAAGTCGAAACGTGTCACAAAAAAACTTTCTTCCCCACTTTGTTATACTTCTTTCCCCTAAGATTAATTATATAGAAAGAAGTGGATTGGATTATGAAAAGGAAGAGTACCCTTAATTTAAAACTGAAGATTCTTACTCATGGCATTAGCTATAAAAAGAAACAAATTGTGCATAAAAGATAAAAGAGAGAAAGACAGAAATAAAATAGAAAGAAAGAAAGAGGAAGTAAAGAAAGGAAGAAAGAGAAAAAGAAAGAGAAAAGAATAAAGAGAGAAAAAAAGAGAGAAAAAGAGAAAAAAAAAAAAAAGAGAAAAAGAGAAAAAAGAGTAAAAAGAGAAAAAGAGAAAAAAGAGAGAGAGAAAGAAAAGAAAAGAAAAAAAGAGAAAAGAGAAAGAAAAGAAAGAAAAAGAGAGAAAGAAAAAAAAAGAAAGAAAAGAGAAAGAGAGAAAGAAAAAAGAAAGAAAAAGAGAGAAGAAAAGAAAAGAAAAGAGAAAAGAGAAGAAAAGAAGAAAAAGAGAAAAAAGAGAGAGAAGAAAAGAGAGAGAGAAAGAAGAGAGAGAAGAAAAGAGAGAGAAGAAAAGAGAGAGAAGAAAAGAGAGAGAAGAAAAGAGAGAGAAGAAAAAAGAGAGAAGAAAAAAGAGAGAAGAAAAAAGAGAGAAGAAAAAAGAGAGAAGAAAAAAGAGAGAAGAAAAAAGAGAGAAGAAAAAAGAGAGAAGAAAAAAGAGAGAAGAAAAAAGAGAGAAGAAAAAAGAGAGAAAAGAGAGAAGAAAAAGAGAGAGAAAAGAGAGAAGAAAAAGAGAGAGAAAAGAGAGGAGAAAAGAGAGAGAAAAGAGAGAAGAAAAAGAGAGAGAAAAGAGAGAGAAAAGAGAGAAAAAGAGAGGAAAAGAGAGAGAAAAGAGAGAAAGAAAAGAGAGAAAAAAAAGAGAGAGAAAAAGAAAAAAGAGAGAAAAAGAAACTCACTTTGACCAAAGATTTATGATGCATGACGATTTAAAAAAAAAAAAAAAAAGAGAAAAAAAAACGAGAAGTAAATAAAACATTTTTTCCAGAACAACAGATGAAAATATGAATAATTTTCTTTTCAAGACTCTTTAATCAGTTATTTAGATCGAAACACACATTGGTTCAAATTTGGAAATGGGGTGGGGGAGAAACAAATAATGATAGATAATTTGTTTTTTGGGTTTTTTTGTGAGTCTCTCTGTGTGTGTGTGTGTGCGTGTGGTGAAAGGGGAAATGATATTAAAAAAATAAAAACAAAAAACTACATTTTTTTTAATATTAATAATTGTTGTTGCTATGTCAATTTAGTTTTATATTCATTTATTTATATGTGTGTGTGTGTGTGTGTGTGTGGTGCAGGTTGTGGTGATGTGGTGTTTTATATATAAGGGAATCAATAAGTCCATAGCCTGGTATAAAGTCAGTAATTTGATTTTGATCCAAAATTTTCGCTGTATAATGTCTGATACGTAACGACTAATATTTCTGACTGAATTAAGTGCATTAACAAAGTAACATGTTGAAAAAATAAATATTTATTGTGTAGAATAATAGTCTATTTTATTTTACTAGGCTGTGAACTGATTGATGTACCTAAATGCACACACACACACATGCGTATGAGTCGTATTTAGGCAGCAGTTTGTATATATGTAGGTACATCAATAAGTCTGTAGACCAATAATGACAAAAGCAATTTATTTCACACAATAAAAATTTAATTTCTAACATAATCTCATTCTTCCTCCACACACGTGACTTATCATTTCATGAATAATAACATATCAAATATTGTTCAATGAAAATTATAGATCAAAATTTAGCCAATAAAAATACTAGGCTACAGACTTATTGATTCACCTTTATTATTGTATGTGTGTGTGTGGGGGGGGGTTCACATTTCGATTTTTATTATGATGACTGCATTTTTAATAATTAAAAAGTCAACATTCAGTGACACAGCGTGTTTATCTTTTAATTTGTCTCTTGATCGTTTGTTATATATATATATATATATATATATATATATATATATATATATAGATTTGTGTAGTCTGTCTCCTCAACAGTGTTACGAGAGAAAAGGGATTCTTGTTTTCATTGTCAGTAAATCCTAAAAAGATAATTTTTTTTTTTTTTACCATTCTTCATATTTAAATGTTTGTTTTTTTTTTTTTTCCTTTTCTACAGAAAAAGAAAAAAAAAGACATTTTTTTTTTTTTTCTTTTGAATGTTTAAAACACATTCCTAAAGTTTTGTTTATCCATTACAAAAATCTAGAAATAGATTTGGTGTATGCAACCAAGAAAGTTCGATGCTTTCACATCAACGATAGGAATTCAGATTCAAAATAAAAGGAAAAAAAACAGACGATGGGAAAAATCAAAAGGCAGAAGCAAAGAAATTGAAAAAAAATAAAAAATAAAAAAAAAAGAAGAAATATTCAGAAGGATGCGATACACGGATGAAGAGAGATAAGTCTGTTTTTGAAAAATCAACCGTCTTTTAGTCTTTTTCATTCTCTCCTCGACATGGAAACAGGATGTCAAAAAAAAAAAAAAAAAAAGAAAAAGTTTTATTGACCTGTTCATTCATTTTTTTTTTTTTTATTATTTTTAAAAAAAAAAAAAAAGAAAGAAAAAATTTTTTTTTCAATATATATATATTTTTCTCTTTCGAAATCATATCTATAGAATGGGATGTCAAGGACTGGAATTAGGGAATGAGTGGCAGGAACGAAAAAAAAAAAAGAAGGTATCTTTCATTCGATCATTCAGTCATCTTTCATTTAATTAATTTTTTTTGTTTCTTCATTGATTTTTTTTTTTTTTTTTTTTTTTTTAAATTTAGTTTTTTTTTTTATTTTTATTTTTTCAGAATGAGCATCAAGGAGTGAATAATATATATTCAGCCATTCACTTTTTCTTTTTCCCATTTTTTTTTTTCCTTCCTTGAAGGAAAATATAGTTTACCTTCAAAATCTTGTCTATATATTAATTTTTTTTTTTTCTTCTGTCATTCAGTTATCAATATAGTTTTTGTTTTTGTTTTTCAGTTTTTCTGATTAATTAACTTTCTGCCGCCAAGGATAGATACGCTTCAGATCCATGATACGCACCCAGATAGTCGTATAACACATAACATAGAGTAAAAGCAGAAGCATGAATGTAAACATGATGGTGCGACTCCGACAGGCCTTCAGGTTGCCAACCAGACCTCCATTGTGGGAATACTGCACGAGAACGCCTCCAAGGAGAGCAGCCACGACAAAGACAGCAACAAATGTAAGACCATCGGCTTCAACCTGACATAAGCAAAAAGAAAAGAAAAAGTTTTACATAAAATATAGATGCAATTCTATATAGAATGGATAACATAATATTTAAAAGAAAATAATGGATTTTTATTTACTAACCCAACAGATTTTATTACTTAAACCTTATCTTTTAGTGGATACTCACATTTAGGTAGACACTCCACTTATTTCTTAAAAAGTATAAGTATTTATTTTTATCTACCAGCCTGAATATTTGAGAAATCTTATTAGACAAAAAATATGCACTCTCTGGCAGGATTTGAACGTGTGTTCCCATAGAGGAAATCATCATTAAATCTGATATGCTTTAGATCTCTCAGCTACAGAGTGTGTCGATGAACAAGCAAAGTTAAAAAGTGCCTTTAAACATAGATTTGTCTCTGATTCTCAAAATAGACATATCTGCTCAGTTTCATATCCCAATGAAAACAAAGCAATTTCTAAAGAAAGGGATGGATTCTTTTATTTATTAACCTGACAGATTTTATTAAATGCTATTTTTTAGTATTTGGATAGCCACTCCATTTATTTATTAAAAAGTACATTTATTTATTTTCTTCTAATGACCTGAATATTCAATTAATTTTATTAGAGAGAAATATGGGCTTTCCAGGAGGCTTTGAACCTGCATCCCGCTAGGGGAAACTCTCAGCCACACAGAGCATTGATGGTCAAGTGAAGTTGAATAGTGATGGAATTCTGTATTAAGAGATAGGATTGTATAGAAATCTATAGGAGAATTAATTAATAATGATTATTAATAAATACTAAACAAAATGATAAAAAACAAATAAAAATTCAAATGCACATGAAATAGGGTTAACTAAACAATGGAAATCTAACAACACAAAATTAAAATACCAAAATTTCTTTTTTTTTTTCCATATCTCATTCTCTGATGAAGCTTTAATAAAAGTGAAACATGTCATATTGATAAACATTTTCTATTCTATTTGTTCTTTATCCTATCATTCTGTTGGATTCCAATCTATAAGAATAAGAATAATATTAATAAGAAGAATAAGAACAAGAAGAATAAGAATAAGAAGAATAAGAATAAGAATAAGAAGGAGAATAATAAGAATAAAAAGAATAAGAATAAAAAGAATAAGAATAAAAAATAAGAAAGAATAAGAATAAGAAGAATAAGAATAAAATAATAATAAGAATAAAAAGAAGAAGAATAAAAAGAATAATAATAAAAGAAGAATAAGAAGAAAATAATAAGAATAAAAGAAGAAGAATAAGAAAAAAGAATAAGAAGAAAAGAATAAGAATAAAAAGAATAAGAAAAAAAGAATAAGAATAAAAAGAATAAGAATAAAAAGAATAAGAATAAAAAGAATAAGAATAAGAATGAGAAGAAGAAGAATAATAATAAGAAGAATAATAAGAAGAAGAATAATAAGAAGAAGAATAATAAGAAGAAGAATAATAAGAAGAAGAATAATAAGAAGAAGAATAATAAGAAGAAGAATAAGAAGAAGAATAATAAGAAGAATAATAAGAAGAAGAATAATAAGAAGAATAAGAAGAAGAAGAATAAGAAGAAAAGAATAAGAATAAAAAGAATAAGAATAAAAAGAATAAGAATAAAAAGAATAAGAATAAAAAGAATAAGAAGAATAAGAATAAAAAGAATGAAAGAATAAGAAGAATAAGAAGAAGAAGAATAATAAGAATAATAATAATAAGAAGAAGAATAATAATGAGAAGAATAAGAATGAGAAGAATAATAATGAGAAGAATAATAATGAAGAAGAATAAGAATAAGAAGAATAATAATGAGAAGAATAATAAGAAGAATGAGAAAGAATGAGAATAAGAAGAATAAGAATAAGAATAAGAATAAGAATAAGAATAAGAAGAAGAATAATAAGAATAAAAAGAATAAGAATAATGAGAAGAATAAGAATAAGAAGAATAAGAAGAATAAGAATAAGAAGAATAGAATAAGAATAAGAATAAGAAGAAGAAGAAGAAGAATAAGAAGAATAAGAATAAGAAGAATAAGAAGAATAAGAATAAGAAGAATAAGAATAAGAAGAATAAGAATAAGAAGAATAAGAATAAGAAGAATAAGAATAAGAAGAATAAGAATAATAGAATAAGAATAAGAAGAAGAAGAATAATAGAATAAGAATAAGAAGAAGAAGAAGAATAAGAAGAAGAAGAATAATAATAATAATAAGAAGAAGAAGAATAATAAGAAGAATAAGAATAAGAAGAATAAGAAGAATAAGAATAATAGAATAAGAATAAGAAGAAGAATAAGAAGAAGAATAATAAGAATAAGAAGAATAAGAATAATAGAATAAGAATAAGAAGAAGAATAAGAAGAAGAATAATAAGAAGAAGAATAAGAAGAATAAGAATAAGAATAATAATAAGAATAATAAGAATAAGAATAAGAATAAGAAGAATAAGAAGAATAAGAATAATAAGAATAAGAAGAATAAGAATAAGAAGAATAAGAATAATAGAATAAGAATAAGAAGAAGAATAAGAATAAGAAGAATAAGAAGAGTAAGAAGAATCAGAAGAATAAGAAGAATAAGAATAGGAATAAGAAGAATAAGAAGAAGAATAAGAAGCAGAAGGAGCTTGTGAGTTGTCCCCATGCAGCTTCAATGTTTTCGGTAAAAAATCCTTAGTCTTTTTTTTCTCCATATCTCATTCTTTGATGAAGATTTAATAAAAATGAAACACATTAGATTGATAAATATTTCCTATTTGTTCTTTGTTCTATCATTCTGACAAATTCCATTCCATAAATTGATCCTAACTCAATAAGTACCCAGCAGACAGATTTCTTCATATCCCCAATATTCGTAAAATCTATGCTTAACGAAGGTAAGATCCAAATATTTGCAGATGGTGCAATCTAGCATTATGCATTCTTTTCAGGCATTTACAAATATTCAACCAAAAATTAAACTGCTAGACCCAGTTTTTTAATACCCACTTAAATTACATCATCATCTTTTTCTCCATATCTCAGTCTCTGATGAAGCTTTAATTAAAGTATAACATGTTAGATTGATAAACGTTTCATATTTGTTCTTTAAGTGTTTTAACAGCGGTCAGAAAGAGCAGCAGTGAAATCTCAAGCCAAAGAAGCCTTCTAAAAGCTAAGCAGAGTACTGAGAATTATGAAAATTTCACTAGAAACAAGCAAAAATGTAATAAACTGCTATGTAATGTCTGTCCTCTTGAGAGACGGTTATCTGATGATAATGTGTATTTGTAACTCTAATGCCCAAAAAGACTAACTAGAATTTTTACAAACTTACATATTCATTATCTACGGTTATAATGAATGTGATACATGACTGACTAATGAAAATTAAACAACACAAAAGTGAAAATACCAGAATTTCTGTCTTTTTCTTCATATCACATTCCCTGATGAAGATTTAATAAAAGTGAAAATATGTTAGATAAATGTTTTCTATTCTATTTGTTCTTTATTCTATCATTTTGTTGGATTCCAATCAATATTTGATCCCAACTCAAAATGATAATAATAAGCTTGTGGGTTTTCCCCTACACAGCTTCACTCTTTTCAATAAAAAAGTCCTTAGATAGCATTGTTAAACACCTATAAAAATGGGACACTTCCTGTCTTCGTCCTCTTTTCTTTCATTTCCCCCCAGTATGCTGGAGTGACAATATGAACAGGCACCTTCTCCTGAGCATGGGGACATTTTTCCCCCGTTAGTGACCGAACTCTTTCACGTTCATGAGTATCACCAACATAATTACTAACTTGTAATGTAGGCTTATGGCCACATCATGTAGAAAAACTGGTTTCAGTATGATGCCTGAAGTTAAGCAATGTTGCATCTGGCTGGTACCTAGATGGGTGACCGTTTGTGAACACCAGATGCTGTATGTAAGTTTGGATGTGTGGGTGGTGTAATGTATAATGGCTCAGAATTGTTAATTGGAGATAGCAGAGTTCCAATTCCCGTTGAGTTTTTTATATTCACTTGCACACAAATGCCCTTGGGAAATGTATGGATCCACCTCTTCTCCCACCAGCTATGGGTTAATTAGTAAGACTTTTATCAAAAATCATTGTTATTGGGAAAAAGAAATAAACAAATTGTACACAAAATATTTAGATTTCAGCATTAAATAACCCATAGAGGTGTTGATATGCCGCTAAGCAAAATCAACCAACCAACAATACATATTTATAGTAAAATGACCAACAATACATTTTATCTGTTGTTGAAGGCATACAATTGCATTCAAAATATATTTAGTTGAAGCCATAAAATTGTGTTCAAAAGTTTGAGATTTTTGCATTGAATAACCCATAGAGGTGTTGATATGCCGCTAAACAAAAACAACCAACAACTTATAAGGTTTTCTTTTTTTTGTTTGCATGAATACTGCATATTTTTTCTCTCCTTTTATTCAGTTATATAAAAACCAAAATATAAAATATTGCCTTGTTGAAATTCATTCTTTTTCCTTACAATTGTCATTTTCATGTGCAAAATATTGCTGCTACTGCTTTTAGTTTAACCAAGACTAGTGCCTGCAACATACACAACTCAAATTATAATTTATGATAACATTATTTAGCTATTAAAGAAAATTTATAATTAAACTAAAATAAAATTATGAACTTTCCTCTACAGAACCAAGACTTTATGAATTTAAGGTGCTGTACTAGATTGGTGGCAAAGTCTCTATGAAAAATATAAGATTATCTCCCTTTGGTTGATAAGATCCCTGGTAGGGAGAGATAAATCCATTTATCTGGTAATAATGGGCAAGTCCTGAATTTAGGCGCTAAATGGATTTGACATCCCAAAAGTGATGCTTGAAGACCACTGAGGTGAACAGACACATTTTAGTCGAATCCAAACGACAGGCAATGCTGTCACGAGCAAAACAGAATAGACGTATGAATGCCTTGTCATGTAGATGTTGGAAGAAGAGATATGATCATCTTTAGATAAGTATCTCTATCCATTTCAAACAGATTTATGTATTGGACATCGTCCGTGATGAACTGACATTAACTGCTGCAGAAAATATGTTTACCAATTCTCTTTTCTCTTTGTATAAAGGTATTATTTATATAAAAGTATGTCATTAATTTTTTCATTTGTCTTGTCCTTTGTTCCTCTGTTTGAGACTCATGTGGGGTGCTGCTAATTTTCCCCCATACTCTACCTCAGGTCATCATCTAATGAAAACTCTTCTGGAAGTTCTAGTATTGTTTTTAACAGAGTAGATCTATACATTGATAACTTTTCATGAAAGAAAGTACAAAAGATGCCTGAAGAAAAACAAAATGATAAAATATTCACTTGTGTGCAAATAACCATCTCTTTCCCCCAGATATGGGTTAATTAGTAGGACTTGAATTAGTAAATCATTATTATCTCTCAAAAATTCTTAAAATGTAAAAAATATTTTCAGGCTTTAAATAACCAGCAAAAGGATGATAAGCCATAAAATAAATCAATCAAAACCCCATCTACAACCATCTAAGTCACCTGCACATAAAGATATTTAAACCTGACCCTTCTGAAAAATATAAGTTATCTTCATTTGGTTGATAAGATCCCTGATAGGGAGAGATGAGTCCATTTATCTTCTAATAATTGGTAAGACCTGAATTTGGTTCACCACTGCTGTGGCCTGGTATTGAACTCACAACTCTTTGGGTCTAGTCATTGGATCTAACCAACATCTTTATCCACTGGGTCATGTATTCTTGAGAAGACATGGCTCAGAGGACATGTGTGAACCAAACTTAGAGAGTTGACTTAAAGGGAAATAACTGAGACATCCGGAAGAGGCATGGCATGTGAAACTAGAACAATCTACCCCAGTGGACGAAATAAAGGGTTCGGTTCGAAGTTCCAATCACCTGAAGAAGGCTGGAGTGTACAACGGTTGAAACTTTATGAATATGGCAATGAAGATGAGGATAACAGTCGGAAAAATGTAAATAATGTAAGTACTCAAAATTTATTCTTAACACATTGACTCCCAAAAATCATTTCCATTGTTGTCTCAAGACTGCATCTTAAAGTCTGTTATAACTGAATGAAGAAAAAAAATCCCAAAAAGTAAATCCATTTTGTGTTGAATGTGAAGCTATGTCTTTCCCTTTGGCTTGAGTGTTTCATATAAAATATGAAACAATTCAACTTTTCCGAGTTATGTAACAATATATGCTTTTTATATTTTTTCTTTTATAAAGGGTGTTCCAATAACTTGGATCGATTTTAATGTGAATTAAGTTTAAGCATCTAATGATTTTTTTTCTTTTTCTTTCAGATTTGGTGGCCATTTGGGTGATATTATTTTTCACACATAATTGCTATGACTTAAATAACATGATTCAATAGAGAAATAAATAAATTTTCACCAATAACACTGATTTATTTACTGCTGACTTTGATCCACCTTAATGAAACACCCTTTATATATAATCCATCCTAATGAAAAACCCTTATATATAATCCATCCTAATGGATCACCCTTTATATATATAAAGTTCCAAGGCTGACCAAGATATAAATCTAAGTAGACATATCAGCTGCCCGACCAATTGTTTAACCATTCCTGGGCATGATGATAAACTACATCATCATCCTGGATATGCCGATAAACTACATCGAACAGCAAGGCCTTTGATCAAGAGGGTTTGAGGAGCATGGAACCACTTAATTGCTGGTGTTCCCAGGTTCACCATAACCCAGGGTGGTAGCACCTGTCAGGATCCCAGGTATGGGCAAATAGTTAACGCCCAAATGGGTCAAAACACTATGAAAGTATAAAAATAGGTTTTAATACCAGCAATACCTTTTTGTAAAAATTATTACCAGCAATATATTTTTGAAAAAAAAAAAAAAAATTACCAGCAATACATTTTTTAAAAAAAATATTACTAGTAAGAGCCCCCGCCCTAATGAAATCAAATGTCTGTGGCCAAGGCGAAGATTTAATCTAGAGAACATCTGTTTTGGTTTCAACTGGAGAAAGATGGGCTCCACCAGGTTTACTTGCCCAAGACATGTTACACATAAATGAATATTTCTCTGGTTTTCAACCATAATCCTGTTGGGTGTTTAGCTAACTTCCTCACCAGAAAAGCATGATGGGGGGGGTGAGCGAATCAGTTTAGTTGCTGATGACCTGATGATGAGACTGGTAGTGTTGGGTTACATGGTACCAGCAGCACTCTAAGAGAATAACCTGACATAATTTTATCAGGTCACCCTGCTTATTAGGTTTTGAAAACGAAAAATAAAACAAAAATAAAACATAAAAAACCTCCCACTTCTTCCAGACTTATTCTAGATTCTAGTCCATCCCCCCAATGCTGCTCATTTTCACCCCCACTATTTTATTTCAAGACCTGAGAGTAAAGAATCTGTAATATAAGAATTTCTAATGTCACTTTTAATGCGTGTACAGACAAACTCCTCACTTATCTGTCAATTAGAAAGAATGTTTATATGAGAAAATGTTGACATTTTCTCTTGTCACAGAGATAAGTATTCAAAGTGAAAGTTATTTTTTTGTAATTCTTTTCTCTACTTACTGGTTTTGAACAGCCTTCGCACACTGGTTCCTGTACTATCGGTCTCTCATATTCCCTCATTCGTCCATGACGTGGGCAGTAGTCGGGTCCATTTATTTGACCAACACGGAGTCCACGACTGAAATAAAAGCAAAAGATTTTTAAATCCAGTCTGAATTTTTGAGATGGGACGTTATTTATATTATTTTCAGTTCATTAATTTTTTTTTTTTGCTTTTAATTTTTGAAAAAAGTTTGTATCATTGAGTCTTTCTTTTTTTCTTGTAGGCATTTTTATTCAAGATAACAATCCCAGCTTGTTTGTCTAAGGCAATGATTCCCAATGTGGGGTATATGCTCCACTGGTGGGGCATGGTAATATTTTGGTGGGGACAGGCATAGGATGTGCACCCTTCAGCTAACTATACCAACAGAAAAAGGGGGTAATTCGAGTATGAGTTATTGACAGTGAATTGTTTTCTAGTGAGCTCAAATTTCTTTTTCCATTATTATTTCATGATTAAAACGATCAAAGTATATTACAGAATAAACTTTCATTCAAATATTTTATATTTCTGCCTTTCAGTTCTCTATTATATGTTTTGAAACTATATATAATTAATTGTATTTTTGATTCTTAATTTTTCTCTTTCATGAACGCCATGTTTTTAGAGGCTTGTTTAGAGACCAAATTAATGGCCTTTTAAGCTTCCTCCATGTTAATTGATGTAAAATTTTGAATATGTAAGAATTAAATATTATAGTGAGGCATCAAAATTTTAGAAATCCCAAAATCAGTTGGGAACCACTATATTAAGACAATGATGGAAATGGCTTTATTTTTAATAAAAAGGCATATAAAAGCCATATAATATTTATATTTTCTGATTAAATCCTTTAAAAGTCTTCCAAAATTAAATAGAAATTCTTTGAAGGGTTACTGCTAGAAAATGCATCAGTCAACCAGAAAGACCTTTCCCAGTACATGCTATAGCAGCTCTTTGCCATTGCCTATTGTCAACTCACAGATATCTACAACTATTTCCAATTTTAAAACATTTGTCCTTCTCTAATAATAGAAAGTGAACTTTCTTCATGCTAGACACGATCATCAGGCCACTGATTGCGTCTAGCATGAAACAGCCTGTTGCCTTTGAGTTTTGACTTCAATGTTCACTTCTATATTTACATATGCTCTATCTCTGATATTGAGCAATTTATCCCATAAATATAGCATACATTAAAACTATATATATATATATATATATTAGATAATATTAGTGTTCAATATATATATATATATATATATATATATTTCCAAGAGGATATAATCCAAGTAGAGCTCAATGTTCAGGAGAGAGCAATAATATATATATATATATATATAACTAATAGGGGCAGCAGATCATTGTTCAAACATATATTGTTAAATATAACAAACAATGAATATCTATTATGTTTTATCAAGGGCCATTCCAAGTGTTGTATAATGGCTTTAGTTTCAAGAGAAAACAAAGACAAAACCTGTCCAAAATTTGGATATTTCTTTGTTATATTGGCTGTCATCAGAGTAGTTATATCGACATTACAACAGAGATGTTCACCTTAATGTGCATATTCATTTTTTGTGTGGAATTTTGGTAAATATATCTGTTAAAATGAGATGTCAGTGTTATTTTCATTTTTTCCTAATTTAGATGACAATTTATCCATCGCACCTTGTGTGTGTGTGTGTTTTTATATATATACATATACATATACACACACATATATATATATATACATACATACATACATACATACACACACACAATATGCTGTTGTGTTGATTAATTTTAGGGTACAAATAGATGAATCTAACAAGATCTTTAGATCGCTTATGTGTGCTTAAAATCAATTGTTTAAGTTGACACTCACCTTAGCATTCGGCATCTGTGTTCATAGAGACGACGTCCAGCCTTATCAATATCTTTTACATCTTTACTACTCCACAATCTTTCTGCTGTGGCTGATGCAGCAGGCCTAGTAGCAAAAAGAAAATTACAACATGACACAGAGGGTCATTAAAAAAAGACATCTTAAGATCAAATGAAATTAACATGGATCACTATTCTCCATTATATACTATGAATTAACTGATTGAAAATATATATATATATATATATATATATATATATATATATATATATATATATAAAAAAGAAAGAACAGTAAGATATATAATCTGTTGTTCTTATTGATATTTTTTTTATTTTTACAAAACAGTAAATTTACAGAGCATAAATATTATAAATTAACTGATTTAAAATAGGGTTTCTTCGCTACACTGTAATAACCATGCTTCAAAAACTGAAGCTAAAAACTTCAAATTAATTATATAATTAAATGAAAAGCATTAGTGCTGTTTCATCTTCAAGCGAATTTTAGAATAAATTATTTTTAAATCTACTGAGTTTTAAATGCACATATAAATTCATAATTTTCTGTTTCCAAGGATACAGAGAAATCCAATCATTTAGACAGGGGCGATAACGTGTTCATTTTTATTAACTATTGTTGTATCAATTATGAGTTATGTTCGAGAAAGAGGTTAAGTTTAGGGAGGGTAGGGGTGTATTTTTCAACAAATTCTGACATCCGTTAAACACATGTTGTCTGTTTTTTTTTTTTTTATTATTAACGACAAAAAGTTTTTCAGTATTTTTTTGTACTTGTATACTGAAAGATTCTTTCTAAAAGGGGTGTTTGGGTTAGAATATGTTATTAATTTTTTATAGTTAAGTGCTTATTTTTTTTATCAAAATAAAAGCAAATACCATGTGGTTAGTGAAATTGTAACTTTTACTTTAAAGGATATGTCATTTTAAGATGTTATAATAAATCATTACTGCGTTAAAATATACTGTAAGTTAAAAAAAATAAAATGGCAATATCTTGCAGAATTAAAAACTCATGGATCTACCACAAATTTTAATGACCGATTTCTTGGCACATGATTCAAACTTCAACAAAATATCTTTGAAATTCATAAAGAACTTTCAGAGATATTGTTAGGAGGAAACAGGCTGGCTGAATCTGTCAAAATCAAAATGTCTATTGGTAGAGGTAATAGTGCTGAAAAAAAGACTCCCCCCGCAAAAAGACCCCCCCCGGCAAAAAAGAACCCCACACACACACACAAATAAGAACAGTCCAAGCCAGCAATCGCGCAAAGAAAAACAAAACAATGTTGCCAACAGATGGATGAATAAAAATGTGAATGACAGATTTCAGTGACCTTTAGAGAAGTATGACCCAAGTGTCATTTAATCCAGTGCTTCTCAATCTTTTTCAGTTCATGTAACAATTTTTACTTCCAAAAATTCAAGTGGCCCACTCCTACATTTACTTTTAGGCCGTTCAAAAAATAAAATAAATATAACACTGCATAATACGTACATAATTTCAAAATTTTCAAATATAATTGACGTGTGTAATTAAACAAGGTATTATATATTTTAATTCTTCAAAGTATGAATAATTTAGACACATTTTTGTGAAATGGCTACAATTTTTTTTTATGCCTACAAATTCTCTGTAGACCACTAGGAATGATATGTGGTCCATCTGGACCATGTTAAGAATCACCGATTTAAACTTTAACACACTGCATAATGAATATTACTTCTCTTTTCACTGCATTCTTTTTCAAGGTTTCACAATTGCAGTAACCTTATTGTTAATTTCACTCAAAGGTGTTTTTTTGTTGCCATAGCAGGATATGACATCACATATATGAAATTCAGGGATCAAAATCACCTTCAGTGGCAGGATAAACGTTTTGTACAGCAAATTAATTCACATACAGAGTGATAAAGGTGAAAAAAATGGTCTTTCTTACCAGAGTCTGGACATAATTTCTTCATTATCAATATATTCTGCCCATAAGCAGGCTTCACCTCCAAGAACATCTTTTTCTTCAAAATCATAGCCTTAAAATGAGAAATAAATAAACAAATTAATTATTCATCATTTTCAATACAAGCCAGCAGACCCCACATTTTTGATATAGGGAGCATGCAAAATTTTGTATATTTTCATTGCCCAAACAAAAATTAACTTAATAAATGAATACGTAATACCGTATTTCCCCATGTATTATATATATTTTTTTCTAAAAATAATAAGCAAAATTAGGGGTGCATATTATGCACAGCTACAAAAACAACTATAAAAAAATTACTGTTTCATAGGTCTATTTCAGTTGCGAAATGATTATTCACCACAAACATACGACAATTTGACATTAACATTCAGTGATTGTGGCAAGAATGTCAAATACAATCATAGGTACTTAACAATATTTACAAATGTAAAATACAATAAGAATTATCATAAAACTAAATTAGAAGAATATTATTCTATGTTTAAAACCATTTGTGAAAACCTACATACAGATCTGGTAGATTGCACATTTTATCGAACAAAAACAGGTTAATGAGTCTGCACAGTAGGCACAATATAGGTATTTCTGTTTCCTTTTAGAATCATGATCAGAAATTTTGATAAGTTTCTGCAATTACAGCTTGAATAAGAGTAAGAAATGCTGACCGTAATGATATTGGAAAGGTACAATTTATAGGGTTTGATTATCAAACAAGGGGTGCATATTATTCATGAGTAGAAGCATTTTCCCACACTTTCAGCACAATTTTAGGGTGTGTATTATGGATAAAGGCATATTATACATGGGGAATTATGGTGATTATTATAGTCATTAAAACAGCTGTTTTAAAACAAAAAAACAAAGAGAAGGTAGAGGTGGGGGAATCATTTTTTTTTTATAGTTACAATAGACAGTAAAAGTAAACTGAAAAAGTAACTGCTCCAAAATGAAACTTTTTTAAAGTGTTTTTTTTTTTTTTTTTTTACAGTAAGGTTCATCCTGCACAAAGCCCAGGGGGCCACTCAAGGTAGAGGGTTATGATAAGGAGTAGTTTATATAAATAGAAGAGGAAGATAATGGTTGACTCTAGACTTGAATAGTTTAAGATTGTAGTGATTAGGGAAACATCCTCTTGGGAGTCTGTCCGATAGGGTAGTGGCTCATAGGAAGAAGCTGTTTGAGTGGAACTTCTCGCTGATGAAATACAGAGAGAATGTGGATGGTTTGCTTGTATGTGAGTGGTATGGCAGATTCTAGTTGTGAAGTTTAGACCTGAGCACTTTCTATGGAAGTAGCACAACATTCTGAGAGAGAGAGAGAGAGAAGTTGCTGGGTGGAAAATAATTCTTCTCCCACAAGGACTCAGAGACGCTTTTGAACTCTATCAAGACTGGAAAGTGAGGACTGGGCAGTTCCCGCCCAAGTATGGCAACAGTACTCCATTTTAGGCCTGACCTGTCTCTTGTAAAGGTAGAGGATATTATATAGAGTCAGGTATTTACTGGAGTGGTACAGGGAGGTGATCATTTTACCAGCATCTTTAGTGATGGATTGTATATAGGAATTCCACTTGAGCTTGAGTCTGCTCTCTTTGAATCAACTGAGAGAAACTTCCATCAGCACGGCTGATGTTAACTTCCGAAAGAGTGACTCATTGCAACTTCTTCGGCTAACATTTTCCACTTACATGAAGTGGAAAGATTATATTGAATCAATTGCTATAAATGCTATTAGGAAAGCTGCTTCACTGTGTCAAGCTAGACAATTTTTCCTGTCAGAATTTTTCTTACATAATTATGTCTACCATTTGTCCATGCATTGAATATTGCTGCTACATATGGTCCAATACTTCTATTTATTTAGAGATAAAATCCAAAGAAGAATCTGCAATGTTATTGGTCCTGACCTGGCATTTCAGCTTCAGTCACTTTCCCACTGATGTGATGTAGCTTCTCTTTGCATTTTCTATAAATATTTACATGGTAATTGTTCTGATTACATTTGCCGAGGCATTATGGTGGACGTAGTAAGAATGGTAAGTAAGAATGTGTTGTTTTGGTGTAAGGAATACCGTGGTATGTTTGAGTCAGTAATCGTGGCTAGCTAAGTTTAAGGTAAGACAGACTGAAGACCAGCATGCCCTTGTCCTTCAACAAAATATCTTTGAAATTCATTGAGAACTTTTAGAGATATTGTTTGGATAAAACAGGCAGACCGAATCTGAGTGAATATGCCTACTGACAGAGGCTAAAAAAAAACAATGTTGCCAACATATGGATGAATAAAAAAAATGAATGATACATTTAAGTGACCTTTAGAATGACATTTAACCTTTAACACTCTGCATTATTAATATTACTTCTATTTCCACTGCATTCTTTTTCAAGGCTTCTCAATTGCAATATTCTTATTGTTAATTCGGCCTTGTGCCACATTTTTGTATTATTCAAAACAAATATTACTTTCCTCTATGCTACTGAGGCTTTATGAGTTTAAGTGCTGTGCTAGATTAGCTGACAAAGACTCTTCATTTTACAGTTGAAATGGCTAGGTGTAACTTTAAATTCTATGCTAACAATTTCTTCTCTTGCTTGTGGAGTTCTCTTACACATTCTTGCTTACCAGTCAACTTTGATCTTCAAAAATTTAAATGCAGTATCAATCATTATCTTCTGTATTCTTAATTCTTGTTCTTTTATTCTCCTCTTTCCTTAATAGGATATTTTTTACTATATCCATTAACACTGTCAATCATTATCTTCTGTTTCCTTAATTCCTCTTCTTTTATTGTTCTCTCTCCTTAATAATGTTTTTCTCTTTCTCATAATCTTTCACACTCAGTGACCCTTTGTGTCTTAGTAGATTTATTGCCTTGCTTGGGATGAAATGATTAAATGCAATTTCAATCGTTGTCTTCTGTCTTCTTAATTCCTCTTTTATTGTTCTCTCTCCTTAATAGTGTTTTTCTTTTACTCATATTCTCTCTCACTCAGTAACCCTCTTGTATCTTAGTGGCTTTATTGCCTTGCTTGGAGTGAAATGATAAAAAAAGATGACTAGTTTCTTTGCTAACTCTTCATAGTTTGATCAAAGATGGCTACTGTTTACTGAACATGCTGCAAATTTGCATTAGGAAAACAGTTCGATTCAAGATGGAGGATATTTATATTTTGCTTATTACCATTATTATTTTTTTTAATTGAATTAAATTTAAGTTTTTGGGAATATTAAAAACTGTGTACAACCCAAATAAAGAGGAGGAAGAAAAAGAGAACAAGTTAAATGATTAAAAAGAAAGAGAAGCATTTTTCACCTAAAATAAATAGTTTTTCAAACTTTAATTCATTCGGTCATTTTATTCAAGGAAAAAATAAAAAGGATATTTAATAAGCAGAAAATAAATAGCTGCCATCTTGAATCCTACAGTTTTTCTACTAAGAAATGGTTAATACTATTATTACCTGGCAGTGTGTCCAGTAAACAGAACACCAACCACTGAGGACTAGAATGATTGTATCCATTGACTAAAATAGGGGGATGATTAATAGATTTGTATATCCTGTTATTGGGCTTTGCCCTAATTGAGTTGTTGGGTACATTCTTATTTCTTGATTGGACTCTGAAGGAATGAAAATAGGTCAGTTTTTTGATTTACCATCGGTGGTAATTATAAAAACTTTCTATTTTCTTTTTTTTTTGCTGTTTGTTTTAAAATGGTTGTTTTATAGGATTTAATAAAATATTTTAGCCCCAGGAAAATATTTAAATAAAATTCAAATGAATGAATATTTTGGATCTTTTCTTTATTCTGTATAACATGATTCAGAACAAAAGATTTCAGAAATTTGGTAATTACAAATGAAACCTTGTGTATGAGCCAGATATAGCCTGGCTGGTAGGTTGGAGAATTCTCATGTGAATGATCAAAAAGAAAGAAAAGAAAAAAGAAAGAAAAGAAAAAAAGAAAAGAAAGAAAAAAAGAAAAGAAAGAAAAAAAGAAAAGAAAGAAAAAAGAAAAGAAAGAAAAAAGAAAAGAAAGAAAAAAGAAAAGAAAGAAAAAAGAAAAGAAAGAAAAGAGGAAAAAGAAAAGGAAAAAGAAAAGAAGGAAAAAGAAAAGGAAAAAGAAAAGAAAAAGAAAAATAAAGAAAAAGAAAAAAGAAAAGAAAAAAAAGGGAAATAAAGAAAAAAAGGGAAATAAAGAAAAGAAAAAAGAAAGAAAAAAGAAAGAAAAATAATAAGAAAAAGAAAAGAAAAAAGAAAGAAAGAAAAAGAGAAAAAGCAAGCAAAGAAAAAAGAAAGAATAGAAAGAATTAAAAGGAGAAAAGAAAAATAAAGAAGAAAGAAAAGAAAGAAAAGAAAAAGAAAGAAAAAAGAATGCAAAGAGAAAAAGGCAAAGAAAATAAATAAAAGAGAAAAAAATAAGAAAGAAAAGAAAGAAGAGAGAGAAAGAAAAGAAAGAAAAAGAAAGAAAAGAAAAAGAAAACAAAAACAAAGAAAAAAGAGGAAAGAAAGCAAAAAATAGAAAAGAGAAGAGAAAAGAAAGAGAAGAGAAAAGAAAGAGAAGAGAAAAGAAAGAGAAGAGAAAAGAAAGAGAAGAGAAAAGAAAGAGAAGAGAAAAGAAAGAGAAGAGAAAAGAAAGAGAAGAGAAAAGAAAGAGAAGAGAAAAAGAGAAGAGAAAGAGAAGAGAAAAGAAAGAGAAGAGAAAAGAAAGAGAAGAGAAAAGAAAGAGAAGAGAAAAGAAAGACAAAAGAAAAAAGGAAAGACAAAAGAAAAAAGGAAAGACAAAAGAAAAAAGGAAAGACAAAAGAAAAAAAGAGAAAGAAAAAAGGAAAAGAGAAAGAAAAAAGGAAAAGAGAAAGAAAAAAGGAAGAGCAAAAGGAAAAGAAAAATCATCATTACTATTAATATTACTATCATCATTAAGTAACTTACAATTATAACCAGTACTCAGGTTGCTTAACTTTTGTGAAAGAATTTTGTCATTTCTGCCTGTACTTATTTACATTTAGACTAATGTCCAGACCATTCTGAGTTCAATCACTGGACTGCAATTTTTAATTTCTGCCAAAGCTTGTAAAGAGTGTATGAGAGTTAAGTGAAAAAAAAAAACAAACAATAACAAGTTGAGACACTTCTAAGATTTCCCTAACATTGCCAGAAAAAAGCACAAGGAACTTTTGCATCAACCCAATATTTAAGACTACAAATATTTTTTTCCTTATTCAATAAATTAAAAAAAAAAAAAAAAAAGAATGTCCATTTTAGACATTTATAAATAAAACATTTATTTATAAACAAATAAATCAGAATATTGATTTTTCTTTTATTACCTCCACTGGTATCAGCTGGGTCGCAAGTATAATATTTAGGCCACTTGATGCCATATTCAATGAGATCGAGGTACCAACAGGTGGAGTAAACAATCTGGTGGCCACGCTTGGCTGCACGTTCCACATCAAACATATCTCCTTGCCAGATTTGAATAATTGTGTCATTTGGAAGCTAAAAAAGACAATGAAGAGAACAACAAAGTAGGACAAATGCATGTTCCGCTGGACAGGAAGAGAACGTGATTGATAAATCAAAGAACCATCTTCACAAACAGGTCTTAAATATGAATAGAAATCTAAGAATGCATTTCAGAGACCTTTCAAGATAAGTAAAAAGAATTGGTCATTTAAGGAAATTAGGTTCCATGTGTTGCGAAATTTAACATTTTTTTTTAACATTTTTGGTTTTATTTCAGATTTTAAAAGATTCTAGATACCATGGAATGAATGTGTGAACAATAACAAAGTTTAAGAGAAATTCGAAACAAAAGGGTCTTGGAGTAATTTACCGATGCCAGGATCTTGACTCAGAGTGGTTTACATATTAATTTTTTAATAGCTGGCCACTCATATTCGAGGATACCCATCTACTATTACAGACACTCGCTCAGGCACATTTTGTGTTTGCTCAACACCCGTAGAGTCCACCTGTAGTTCATACTGCAACTATGCTGAGCGAACCTTAACTACAGTTTCTGGGAGAGAGCATGTTCTCTAGTGTGATCAACAATTTGACCAATGACAGCACGCTCAAGCCCTCAGCCATGATGATTTGTGACTTTGTGCTAGAACAGTTATTGACAGCCCACAAGAATTCCATCTAACCAATTTTGCTCAAAAAGCTTGGGTCAATCCATGGTTTAGTTTTCAGGCACTTTCCACACTGGGATCAACTTTGATTCAGTCCGATATAATCAGGAAGTTGCTTCCTGACAAATTGACCATGGTGAGATTTACATATATTTTACATATATACGTACATGTATATATACCTAAGTACATATGTATGTATGCCTGTATACATACATACGTATGTGCACATGCATACTTATGTATATACATATACACATGCATATGAACATGTTTTGGTTTTGAGCCCAAATTGGCTGGAAAAAATTACAACCTTGAAGATGAAAAATCGAAAAAAATGATTTTTTACACCTTGCACAAAAATCAAAGGGAAAATTTAATGCCCGTAAAAAACAGCATACAATTAATTTAGAGAGTTGAAATCTAATGCAAAAGATTATTAGAATTATAAAAAAAAATATATTATAAACAAACATTATCATATATTATTATTATGACAGTCCATGGAAGAAGTTCCTTCCTTGCAAGATTGAGAACACATAATCGGCCCTTTTCAGGCCCAACCCCCATTCAAATTTTTAATCCTTCCATTTGTGGATATGTCTCAGTTGCACCCATTTGTTGTTATTAATATTGATTTTCAGGTGGGCTAACTTTAAACTTAAACTGCTCCAATTGAACAGTAAAACTTCCCAGTAACAAAACCACTGGTCGAAGACAGGACATACTGCTAGTAGAATCTAAAACAATTTTCCACTTCTCCCATCAGTAATGTGATTTTTTTATTCTTTTCAACAGTTGGAAATGTGCATGTTATCAGAAAAATCTCATATTTGTGAGAATATAATGTTCTTAAATTATTCTTCTTATGAGCGGCCATCCCCCCCTCTTTCCTTCACTCTGAATGTTTTAACATTTAATGCACGTGTGAAGCCTTTGTGTTGGCATTTTTTGTTTTATTTGTTTTTGCTTTCGGTTCTCCAATGACAAGCCCAAAGCAAGAACTTTAGGGGATAACAGCATTGATTTAAAAAAACTTCAGAAGACTTGGCCATCAACAATGACATTTCAGGACTGAACTGATATGAAGAACTTCATATAAACATACTAAGGACTTTCAACAAACCTGGAAGTTATTATTCAGAACTTCTTGCCAGAGTATCACTCGAACTCCTTCTGGCCTTCTCTTGCCAATTTTAGCCAAGTCATTGATGACTCTATGAAAAAAAAAAAAAAAAATAAATAAATATATATATATATATATATATATATATATATATATATATATATATATTTAAGACTGCAATTTTTTTCAATATATATTTTATATGAAAAATGATAATATTTCATAATATAGAGAAATGTTAAATGAATTGTTTTCAGTATGGATATTTTATCCAATTTTTTAACAGATTCATTTTGGACTATTTTTCATTTCATTTCAATTTTTTATTTCCACTAGTAACAAGTAGTAGTAATATTATTGAAATTTTGCAATTTTTTTTTCTTCATTTCAATTGTTTTATTTCCACTAGTAGTATTAGTAGTAAATATTATCTGAAATTTTCATTAGATGAAGCATTGTCAAGATTATTCATTTTGAAATTTCTTCATCTTGATTTCAATTGCTTTATTTCCACTAGTAGTATTAGTAGTAGTAATATTATCTGAAATTTTGATAGATGAATTGTTTATTCATTTTGGACTAGGATTTTTTCATCTTCATTTCAATTGTTTTATTTCCACTAGTAGTATTAGTAGTAGTAATATTATCTGAATTTTGATTAGATGAAGCATTGTCAAGCATTATTCATTTTGGACTAGGATTTTTTCATCTTCATTTCAATTGCTTTATTTCCACTAGTAGTATTAGTAGTAGTAATATTATCTGCAATTTTGATTAGATGAAGCATTGTCACATTATTCATTTTGGACTAGGATTTTTTTTCATCTTCATTTCAATTGCTTTATTTCCACTAGTAGTATTAGTAGTAGTAATATTATCTGAATTTTGATTAGATGAAGCATTGTCAATTATTCATTTTGACTTTTCTTTTCATCTTCATTTCAATTGCTTTATTTCCACTAGTAGTATTAGTAGTAGTAATATTATCTGAAATTTTGATTAGATGAAGCATTGTCAAGCATTATTCATTTTGACTAGGATTTCTTTCATCTTCATTTCAATTGCTTTATTTCCACTAGTAGTATTAGTAGTAATATTATCTGTTTTGATTAGATGAAGCATTATTATTCATTTTGGAAGGATTTTGATTTCCACTAGTAGTATTAGAGTAGTAATATTATCTGGAATTTTCATTAGATGAAGCATTGTCAAGCATTATTCATTTTGGACTAGGATTTTTTCATCTTCATTTCAATTGCTTTTATTTCACTAGTAGTATTAGTAGTAGTAATATTATCTGAATTTTCATTAGATGAAGCATTGTCAAGCATTATTCATTTTGGACTAGGATTTCTTTCATTTCAATTGCTTTATTTCCACTAGTAGTATTAGTAGTAATAATATTATCTTTTTCATTAGATGAAGCATTGTCACTCTTCATTTCAATTGCTTTATTTCCACTAGTAGTATTAGTAGTAGTAATATTATCTGGAATTTTGATTAGATGAAGCATTGTCAAGCATTATTCATTTTGGACTAGGATTTTTTTCATCTTCATTTCAATTGCTTTATTTCCACTAGTAGTATTAGTAGTAGTAATATTATCTGCAATTTTCATTAGATGAAGCATTGTCAAGCATTATTCATTTTGGACTAGGATTTTTCATCTTCATTTCAATTGCTTTATTTCACTAGTAGTATTAGTAGTAGTAATATTATCTGGAATTTCATTAGATGAAGCATTGTCAAGCATTATTCATTTTGGACTAGGATTTCTTTCATCTTCATTTCAATTGCTTTTATTTCACTAGTAGTATTAGTAGTAATAATATTATCTGGAATTTCATTAGATGAAGTATTAGATTCATTTTGACTAGGATTTCTTTCATCTTCATTTCAATTGCTTTATTTCCACTAGTAGTATTAGTAGTAGTATTATCTGCAATTTTCATTAGATGAAAACATTGTCAAGCATTATTCATTTTGACTAGGATTTTTTCATCTTCATTTCAATTGCTTTTTTCCACTAGTAGTATTAGTAGTAATAATATTATCTGTTTTGATTAGATATTAAGTTATTCATTTTGGACTAGGATTTCTTCATCATCTTCATTTCAATTGCTTTATTTCCACTTTATTAGTAGTAGTAATATTATCTGGAATTTTCATTAGATGAAGCATTGTCAAGCATTATTCATTTTGGACTAGGATTTCTTTCATCTTCATTTCAATTGCTTTATTTCCCCTAGTAGTATTAGTAGTAGTAATATTATCTGGAATTTTCATTAGATGAAGCATTGTCAAGCATTATTCATTTTGGACTAGGGATTTCTTTCATCTTCATTTCAATTGCTTTATTTCCACTAGTAGTATTAGTAGTAGTAATATTATCTGAATTTTCATTAGATGAAGCATTGTCAAGCATTATTCATTTTGACTAGGATTTCTTTCATCTTCATTTCATTTTTTATTTCCACTAGTAGTATTAGTAGTAGTAATATTATCTGAATTTTTCATTAGATGAAGCATTTCTTATTCATTTTGGACTAGATTTCTTTCATCTCATTTCAATTGCTTTTATTTCCACTAGTAGTATTAGTAGTAGTAATATTATCTGAATTTTCTTTTAGATGAAGCATTGTCAAGCATTATTCATTTTGGACTAGGATTTTTTCATTTCATTTCAATTGCTTTATTTCCCCTAGTAGTATTAGTAGTAGTAATATTATCTGAATTTTCATTAGATGAAGTTTGTCAAGTTTGACTAGGATTTATTTCATTTTCATTTCAATTGTTTCTTTTTCTGTCAGTCTATTGTCTTTATATATATTAACAAACAAATTAATATGAAAAGCAACTAAATGAAAAAATACTAATCATATATATATATATATATATGTACAAATCTCTTATTGTCAAAAATTCTTTCATAAAAAGAATTCACATTCCTAAACTACAAAGTGTATCTGTATGTATCATTAGAATAGTCTACTGCACAGATAAGCTATTTGCTCATCTCTATGTAGAAGACTCTTTTGAAGATTAAGAAATCATAATTATTCATTTAATTTAAAAATTATTAAGCATAAACAAACATGTAGCATATAAACTTTTGCTATTTTATAAGTATAATGTAATTACAAAATTTCTTTAATATTACTACTATTGTTTTTAAATGGCATGTATTAATAAATTGCAGTAAAACCTACCTTCTTTCATAATACTCCAAGACTTTGTGAATATCACTGTCATCAGCCATGTCGGTACCAGTTAAATGAGCTGCAAAACGAATCACCTCTGGGTTGGACTGCCTGTTACAGGACCAAAAAGATGACCAGATTTTATTTTGAACAAGAAAATCAAACAATAAATAAGGAACACAAATATTGCGAAACAGGATTGTACAAGGTCAGTGGGAGTGTTCAAATATTTTGTATGGGTTCTGCCTTTTTTCAAATATCAAAGTTTTTTGGCCGATAAAATTAGAAACTGGTTCTCTTTTCTTTTTAAACACCTCTGAATTTGATATCAATGATAATGGACTTTTAAAAATGATCCTGTTAAGATGTACGATTTTAGTAATGGTCTTTAATAGACCTCTTAGAATACCATGAATTCCATCATTCCCTTGGAAATTTAAGACGTGTGTGTGTGTGTGTTTCTCTCTCTATATATAATTATTTTTAAAAAATATGATTCCTTCACTATATAAGAGTTCCCATGTTTCAAAAACAGGAGCCAAAAACTTCAATATAATTATTAAAATTATATAGAATTAAAGTATCAAGTTCTGTCTCATCCTCAAGTGAAATTTTTGGACCCAAAATGTTTTTCGTTCACCATGAAAGAGAAAGATTATATTTAAACAATATGAAGAATACAAATGGATATTTGTAATCTAGTTTTTATATAAGTGTCAACTAAACCTGGAAATTTTTAATTTTTTGTACACCAAGGGTAACAAAATATTTAAAAATATTCTAAAGTCTGTTGTGATCTAAAAAAGTCAGGGAACATCGTGTCAGTACACATACACAGTCTGACTTCAAAATGCTGTAATATGAA